TGGATATGTCAAAATTCCGTACACTTAAAAGTAGGTGTTCTACTGTATGGAAATTGGACCTCAACCAAAGTTGGTTAAAATGGTCTGATAAAATCTGCTTCTATACCACCTGAAACATCTGGTGAGTTTCCCAAAGGGTGGAGTACTGTATGCTCTTTTTGAATTATTTACCCCCTCAAGGCTTCTGGCATTGTGGGAATTTAAGACTCAAAATACACCCTCATGGGCAAAACATTGTTTTAAATCATTTCAAAACTGGTTGTTTTGTTAAATGTTTAGATAAAAGAAATTCAGAGGCAACAACTTAATAGTCCTGCTAGACAGTTTGCCGCCAGGTGACAGAACTTGCCTGCTTCTGACAGCCCCTCCTAGAAAGGGAACCGCCACATCTCCCGTTCCGCAGGTTCCCGCTCCAGGATCACTCTCCTCTCTAGCTGACATGTCTGCTTCTCTCTGGAGGCCAGTTCAAGTGTCACCTCTGCTGCAAAGCCGTCCCAGACCCCCACGCCGAGTAAGTCAGCTCCTTACCTACACTCCTACACGACAGGGACACATGCGTACTTCCACTCAGCATGCAGTTCCCCCATCAAGCTGTGGGTGACTCGAGGTGGGCAGTCTTAACTGTTCCCCAGTTTTAGGGCTGGTCCTTGTAGAGCAATACATTTTCAAATCAATGCCAAAGCGAGCCAGAGAGCAGGGAAAGGGAAAAGAACTGGAGTCAGTCATGGAACTGCTGAGACAGGAAAAAGTCATGCAGTGCACCAGGACTGTGAGCCCTTGGAATGAATTAGAAAGATGCACAGACAACTAAGTGAAGACAAGGGTCCCCTCAAAAGTGGACAGTCTTGAATAAGCTCTGATGGCAAAAAACACAAGGGGTGCTAGTCTTACACTGGCCTCACTGAATGAAGTGCAAGCAGAAGCCAACAAAGGGGCTGAGAGGGAAGTCGTTTCCAGTAGACCAGAAGGCTATATAGTGTTACGAAACAGAACAAAAAGAACATCCAAACAGGTTTTTTAAAACAGTACTACAGAGAGGACAAAGCCCAGCACACAGCTCAGGCGTGCTCTTTCTATACCTCACCCTAGACTCCAGCGACACATGAATCCGTCAGATATGCTCACTGTTCTCCAGGAATTAACAGTGTAATAATGGAAGAGATGGTACAGAAAACACAATGTTGACATATCAAAGTAAGTGCACTAACAGGTGAGTGAACGAGCAGCAGAAGCAGAGGCGGGGGAGCCGGCTGGGCCCAGCACGGGGCCTGAGGCGGGTCCTGATGCGTGCGGGGAGCCAGGTGAGGAGAGAGCGACATCCAAGCAAAGACCAAGGCGAGGAGGCTAGAGCGGCTTGGCTGAGTGGGGACGTCTGGCAGTTAATGGCCAGGAGTTCACCGGTGGCAGATGGGGCTCCAGGAAGTGCAGGGAGTTTAGAATTTATCCTGAGGACAACAGGGAACCAATCCGTGGACTTGGACAAGGAAGTACCTTTCTCCAACTTGCCTTTCTGATAGACCAAAATTTGCTAAACAATCTTCTTTTAAATAAGGTGAGATAGACACTTCTGAACTTGACTGGAACAGGATTGAGCTCAGGGGCGGTTGTAATGGAGCAGTAAGATACAAGAACCTTCTCTCCTGGCCCAGCTCCTGCCCTGGCACTGTGCCAGCTCAGCCAGTTGTCCAGTCGCATGGCTCCCCAGAGGGTACGTGTTCCCACAGAGGAGGATGGGGGCCAGCACTGCCACAGTGGCTGGCAGGGGTCCACTGCGGAGGCAGCCCCGCCTGTGACGTAGGGAGACGCAGACACATCCATACTTGCGTGAACCAGGCCTCCTTGCCACGCGCTTCCAGACCCCACTCGGCAAGGTGGAGGGTCGTCACTTACGAGTCCGTGTGCTCCCCCTGACCTACATACTTCTCG